CCAGTTCTGAGGCCTTGAAGCTGGCTGAAAGCAGGTTTCTGGGGATTGTTTAGCTTCTATAATTGCAACATAGTTGCTTAGAGTGCAGCTCAGAGGCCGGCAGCAGCAGGCAGGGAAACTTGGCTTCCTCCATCACTGAAGCAAGCAAGCCTCCTGTTCACTTCAGCTGCCTGCTGCCGGCTGCCATCTTGGTTGGCAGTTAATTTGCATATCGCCCTGATTAGCCAATGGGAAGCGTGTCGGAGGTACGGTTAATTACCATGTTTGTCTATTATTAGATAGGACTAGGATACTGGTCTACTGCATAGCTGTAAAATAGTATAGTACCAGCCCCCTGTTTTGAGGTTAAAACTTCATTGAGGTATCATTGACATACCATAAAGTCCACCTACTTAAAATATACAATAATTTTTTTGGTATATTCACAGGAGTTGTGCAACCATCACCACAGTCAATTTTAGAACATTGTCATCACGCCCAAAAGAAACTCTGAGCCATTAGTGGTGACTCTACCTTTCCCCCTAACTTCCCCAGCCTGGGTGACCACCAATCTCTTTTCCGTATCTACAGAAATGGGCATTTGATATAAGCAGAATTATTTGATATGTGGGTTTTGGTTTTGGGGGTTTTTTTTGTGACTGGCTCTCACACTCAGCATATTTTCAAGGTCCATCCATGTTTTAATGTGTTTCTGTACTTAATTCTTTGTATTGCCCCCAAATACTCCATAATATGGATAAGTCACATTTTATTTAGCCATTTATCAGTTGAACATTTGGGTTGTTTCCACTTTTGGGCTATTCTGCATAGTGCCACTATAAATATTCAAGATCCCTCTGTCACTCTTCTCTCTGACATTTCAACATGGTCTTTCATATAGTGGCATAGCACAGATGGACTTCCATGGTGATGAAAGTCTCCCAAGAGTGAGTGTCCCAAGAGAACCCAGTAGACATTGTATGGTCTTTTTTAGCCAAATCTTGAAAGTCAGCATCTTTTCCATCATTCTATTCATTTCAACATTCTACTCATTGAGGTGATCATAAAGGCCTACCTAGTTTGAGGGGAGGGGACATGGATTACATCTCCTCATGGGAAGCATGTCAAAATATTTGCTGATCTGTTTTAAAACCATGTAGGCTCTTTCCACTTCCCACTATCCAACCCAACACATTGAATGTGACTACTGCCATCAATTCCTGAGCCCTTTCCTCAAAACTTTATTGCTATTTTCCTTCTGTTCTCCTTTTATTAGGCTTGAATCTTTTTTAAAAAAATTATCCCTATCATTTTAACGGGATTTATGGAGACAGAAAATTAGGCCATTTTTATTTCTGATTCTAATGTTGATCTAATTTTTCACTGTGGAACTCCCCTGTACTTTCTCAACTGTTCTTCACAGCTCTACTAAACTCAGTACCTAACCTGGTTAAGTAGTTGTCTTGGAACAATGTCATCTGATTTCTGCCTATAGGTACCATTGTTGGTTTCAAACATCTCTGAAATGCAGAACAGAGTACTAGAAGAGGTTCAAAATCTGAATTTTATAAAGGACAACAGTGCCACCTTTATTGAGAGAAAACTTAGTTTTGAAAAGAAGAAGCCTGTGCAAATTCCGGTGAGTTTGGTAACATTCATGCCAATGATGACTATCACTTTTTTGCCTTGTTTAAACCACAATTTATATTATTTTCCACATCACTTATCTCATTCAAATATCCTGTCATTTACACACTTATTTTATGCAGACACTTTTGTCTTTTTACCCTCTACACTATGAACTCTAAGCGTATACATTTTTATTTGTTTTGTACATGATGTTTTTATTCCAAGCAACTAAAATGGTGTCTGATATAAGATAGATATTTTATAAGTATCTTTTGAATAAATATTAGAATTTTATAGAACTAAATTGTATAGTTCAAACCTTTCACTTTTGACGTGGCCTTTTCAAAGTTACTTAGTGGCAGAGCTGGGATGGGGCTAGGCCTCTTGACTCCTGCCTAGTTTACCGGTATTATTTCCCAGAAAAAGAGATACACATCTACAATTTACTTAATTAAATATTTATCAAGTGCTTAATATGGAAGGACACGTCTACAGTGTGACAAAGCTAAAAATGCGTTCACCGTAAGAGAGGGATTAGAACCTCTGCCTTCTTATTTTCTTTGAATTTTCTTTCTTTTCTACAACACTGCCCTCATGTGCTAGCTAGAGATTTTTTCACTGTATAACTCAGCTGGATACTTCACAATAATAGCCCAATCTATGCCTCAGCACTGAAATAATCCCAGATCCATGTATGGCTTCAACATTTTAAAAAATTCCAGAGGAGAAGTGTTTATCAACCCAGTGAGGATTTTAGAACACAGCTGTCTAAACCAGAATTCCTCCTTACCTCTCCCAGCCAGAAGTGCCACGTCAAACTGACACTCACCGCTCCAGACTTCTGTCCACATACACTACAGAGGAACTCTACCAAGCGAAGCGCAAATGCAATGCTACACAAGAACATGACATCAATCTTCTGGAAGGGGAGTTGGTGGCTGTGATGGAGCAGAAAGATCCATTGGGGAGTACGAGCAGGTGGCTTGTTGACACAGGAAGTAAGTGATTTGCTTAAGATGCACAGAACTATCACCTCTCCTCTGGTTGAGTCTTTCCGGGGACCTCTGTGTGCTTCTCTAAACACAAATGTTTGGAAACTGTATACGAATGACCTTGTTTCTTCTTTCTTTTTACTCCTGTCTAGTTATTAAAGGATATGTGTATTCTTCCTTCCTAAAACCCTACAATCCGGCCAAAGCGCAGAAGATGGGTGCTGAGAACAGGTCCTGTGATGATGACTTTGATAACATCAGCCTCTTTGTGTCTTCGCGGCCAACTAGGGACAGTGTCACAAGCACCCCAGAAGGTAGCATAAGTGACAGCAGCTCCTCTCTGAGTGGCACATGTGGAAAGTTTGAAACAAATGGCACTGATGTTGACAGCTTTCAAGAGGTAGACGAGCAGGTAAGAATTTCAACCTTGATGTAAAGACACATGGCTGTTCAAATCATGAAAGATGTTCTCGCTGATGGCGCTCTTTCTTACTATAAGACTTGGTGGAAGAGCATCAGCTTTGACGTCAAGACCTGCTAGTAACTCTATTAGCGCTTACTCTCTGTGCAAGTGTTTGCAGGGAATTCCTTCTCTGAGTCTGTTTCCTCAAATGCAGGCATAAGGACATTAATTCCTATTTTGCAGAGTTGATGTGAGGATCAGGGATAATGTGGATAGGTAAAGTACCTGGCATGGAGTGGCACTCAGTAAGTAGTGGTGCTACCTTTACCCGGCTGTGATATACCGTATTTGCCGGCGTATAAGACGATTTTTTGGCCCTGAAAAATATGCCTCCAAGTGGGGGGTCGTCTTATACGCCAGGTACACTTCAGATAGACTGCCCATAGTGCTTGCCCCGTGCCATAGTGGCCTCCCGATGCCCGCCCACTTCATTCCACATACCGTTCAGGCATCAGCAGCGCTGCTGGGTGTATGCTCGGCTGTTATGCGATTTTGCTGTTATGCGATTTTACCACACTCGCAAAATCGCACACAGCCGACCATACACCCAGTATGATAGCGCAAAATCACGAATCGCGATACCATACTGGGTGTATGGTTGGCTGTGTGCGATTTTGCGAGTGTGGTAAATTCGGGTTACCGTATATTTCTTTACATATGCATTGAAGATTCGCGATTTTGCGCTATCATGGTGCCTGTTAGAATGTTGAAGAGCTCGCACTTGCGCACTAGTGAGGTCCCAGGGAGATGCTGATGCAAGGGTGGACCTTGCTAGGGACTTGCCCGGCACTTGCTCTCTACCTCTATTTGTTATCTTACTTCTATCATTGACAGTCCCTCTAGGTTGTGGGCTGCTTGCCTGTGTTCCTGAGAAGCATCTACGGTACCAGTCTATAGAGTGTGTTTTCTTTAGTGAATTACCGGTATGTTTACCGGTAATAAACTTGCACTGTTTTATGTATATGTTTGATTACATACAGCCTTGTGACAGTTTTCCTGCATGTCATAAGCATTTGAATATAAATTAAAATGTTAAAATCAAATCTGATATTGTTTTACCTTTTATTTGGTGTGTGGAAGGTGTGCGGAAGAGGGGGTAGTCTTATACGGCGAGTATATAACAAACTCTGTATTTTGAGTGGAAATGTTAGGGGGTCGTCTTACACGCCCAGTCGTCTTATACGCCGGCAAATACGGTACATAGAGTGAAGGTGGTCTTCTTATACTCCCCCCATAGAGGAAAACAGCTCATACTGAACAGATTGCCACCATCAGTAGCCTCTGGAAAACTGTTCCTAAATCTTCTGAGGGCAATATCTGCATTGAGTTATCTATGAATTGGCCATTTTTAATCTTGTAAAATGACATATAACATATAATGACATTTTTAAAGAGCTACTTTTCCCTCAATGCATCAATGCAAAGGCGATTGGGATGATTCTTTTGCAAATGGTTAGTTAACTATAATGTAGAGTTCCTTTTTTATACTTCAGAAAGTTTCAGTATATTTAACTGTTAATCCCCAAGTGGTAATCAACTACCTAATTACCTGGTTCTTTTTTTAAGTTGCTTTTTTCTTCAGTGGCTTTTTATTAATTAACTAGAGGCCTGGTGCACAAAATTCGTGCATGGGGGGAGGGGGATGTCCCTCAGCCCGGGCTGCACCCTCTCTAATCTGGGACCCCTTAGAGGATGTCTGACTGCCAGTGCGGGATCGGGCCTATACTGGCAATCCTGGACTGCTCACCTGCCTGCCTGCCTGATTGCCCCTAATTGCTTCTGACTGCCAGCCTGATCTCTCCTTAACTGCTCCCCTGCTGGCCTGATTAATCCCCTGCTGGCCCAATCGCCCCCAACTGCCCTCCCACTGGCCCAATTGCCCCCAGCTGCCCTCCCCTGCCAGCCATCTTGTGGCGGCCATCTTGTGATGACACGAGGGCATCGAGCGAGGACGCAAGAACCACCTAGACATTTATTAGTATAGATTTTGTTTTTTATAAGGGTAATACATGCTATTTGTGAAAAGTTTAAAAAGTATAAAGATTATATATATAATATATATTAATTCCTTCCCTAGTTATACTCTGATTCAGAGACAATATTCAGATTATCCTTTCAGACATTGTGCATATACAAACACATATTTATATGAGTGGGAACATGCATGTGTTAAATAATCTTTTTTTTCACTTAACAATGTACCTTAGACAACAGTAACTAAATATCTACCTCCTTTTTTAATAAATTGATTTTATAAAGTTATTCAAAAGTGGGAGTAAATTGTATCATCTTTGTGAACAGTGAAAATACACTGTTTATTGTAATGTGCACATCTGGGTATCCTACAAAGCAACTTTTTGTGTGACTATTTAGACTTTTGTTCTTGATTTTATTTTATTATCAGGAATATCAACTGAAACCTGTACTGTCTTAACTGGATGACGCTTGGGGTCAGCATTTCTTTCCCAATCCTTTCCTACCTTGGCAGCAACACTTCCCTTGCTCTCTTCCAGAATTGCAACAACACATTGTCAAGGGAGGTTATCAGCTGCAATCTAGCCTTATTGGTGGTTGTAGTGGATCCTGGCAAGAAAGACAGAAGGATGGGTGGCCTTGGCCCCTATTTGATATTCAGGAGATTCAGTGGGGCCTAAAAATCAGTCCGAAACAGGCAAGTTCTGATTGACTTAAGATTTTATTGGCTCTTGTTTGCTGGAAGGTTTTTGATTACTGCTTCGATTTCCTCCATAGTTATTGGCCTATTGAGATTTTTAGATTCTTCCTGATTGAGTTTTGGAAGGTTGTATTTTTCTAGGAATATGTCCATTTCCTCCAGGTTGTCTAGTGTGTTGGAGTAGAGTTGTTCATAGTATTTTCTAACAATCATTTGTATTTCTGTGGGGTCTGTCGTTATTTCTCCTCTTTCATTTCTGATTTTGTTTATTTGGGTCCTCTCTCTTTGTTTCTTGGTGAGCCTGGCTAGAGGGGG